TTGCAACATGTTACGACCCAAGTAATTTGAAATGCTTTCAAGTAGGGCGCAAAGAAGATAAGGAGAGAATAATTTACAGACTTCATGACAAAATTGATAGAGTGCATGAACAATTGTCACTCGCTATAGAGAGAAATCAAACACAAGCAAAGAATGACCGAATCGGTCAGTTAAAGAAACTACATCTCAAATTGAAAACTTACGTGAATGACATACATCTGAAACTATGTTCTTATCTTGTGAAACATTACAAGCTCACAGTTCTTGGTTAAAATATCAGTCTCTTCAATTGTTAGAAAAGACAGACCGAAACATTTATCAAAGAGAAGCAACAGAGACCTGTTATGCTGGCAACACTACAAATTCAGAGAGAGATTGCTGCATAGAGCCCGAGATACAAATTGCGAAGTAATCGTTCAAGATGAAAGTTACACATCAATGACATGTGGGAATTGTGGAGTAAAGAACAAACAATTGGGTGGAAATGAAACATTTTATTGCGACAAGTGCAAATATCAAACACATCGAGACGTGAATGGTGCGAGAAATATTATGCTAAAGTATTTGAACATTTTTCCATTTTCATCATAAAAATATAAATGACATTATAGGTTTGACTCGACCTGCCTCGAGTAAGAAGTTTTGCCTCGAATTTTACATATGCGAAAGTCGGGGCAAAAATTCTCTCGGAGTGAATGAGTTACAATACATATTTTTTGCATTTTGCACTTTATGATATCTACCACATTAGATCTATCACTACTGATTAAAAATTGAAGAGGAAATATATAAATAAATATTGTAGATCATTTTCACTGTCAAGTTAATTTGCAATAAGCAATAAGCGGTTTTTTTTTTCAAGCAAAATATTTTCAAAAAGCCACGGTCAAAATAGTCTACCAACACTTTATCAGTAAACAAATTTTGGACGAAAAAAAATCGTAGACCAATGTTAATCTACTAGATTATCTACTAAATCTATTCAGTGATAAATTTACCATTTTATTTCAATTCAAAATTGTGTTCATTTCTCAAGTATAGTTTATGATTGATCATTCCATCAAACGTAAAATAAAATCGGGTTTGCATTTCAATTCGCAGACAAATAAACACGAAGAAAAAAATACCATCATTCTCGATACACAAAAGCGAACAGATTTTTTTTTCCTCTTGAAAACATGAAATATTTGCACCGAATAGCATTTCAAAACATCCACTGTTCTACATTAACAATTGAACATTTGATATTTTTTCCTACTTTGTAGTAAAGAATTTTTCTATCTGAAATATCGTTTGGAGAAATAAACCAAGAGAACTTTTTTTCTTTCAATCTAGAATAAAAAATCTAAAGTGAAGTTTATTCTCAATATTTTTTCAGACATGTCCAATAAAAAATTGATCTAAATCCATTTTTTTACAGGCAAAATATTAACATCATATTGAATGTATATTTTACAAAAAAATAAATCTAGATCTAACAAAACATTTCGCTAAAATATTTTAAATCGCTATTCAACTGACTTTCTGTATTCCGTAAATTTGACAAATAATTGTCTCTATCTACTAAAATATTCACACCATATTAAGTCTACATTTAACAAAAAATAAATCAAACAAAACAGTTCGCTAAAATATCTTAAATCGCTATTCAACTGTACTCTGTAAACTTGAAAAATAAACTTGTCTATCCTGCCTATCAATAAGAAAATATCCATCTTGTTTATATGCTTTAAAAAAATATTAACCCAACATTACATCGTCAAAAGATTCAATTTGAAATTCAACATAAGACTCATGATGATAGATCTAGAAAAATAAAATCAAAATCCAACAACATCAATCTCACGAAGTAATCTAAACTTCAATCTCTCGAAAAAAATTGCATTTTCAGACATAAAATACATTGATATTCTTTTAAAAAATTCGCCAGAGTGAAAAGTATAAACAAATGTCACATACCTCATAAAAATTGAGTAAATATCCAGTAATTATCCACCTTAAATTAAATTTTTTAACACAGCAATTTCCAACACGGCCGAACATTTTAAAAGCGAGACTTGTTATGACCCGTTTGAACGTTTTCTTATTCGAAGCTATATTGATGACGTAGTATTGATGACGTCACATTATAATTATTTTCTTAGAACTATCAAAGGCGAGCTAATTAGCGCCATATTAGTCGATAGAAATATATTGTGTATCATTGAAAACAATCTCTAATGACTTAGACAATAAAAAAGAGTAAATCAAATAAAAAAGAGGAGAAATATACCGACTGTGCCGTATTTAGCCTAAATACTGAAGAAAATCTAAATAAAAACAATAGACGACCTCTTTTACATACATTTTACGTTTACGAAGGGTTTATTCATTTTCTGAATATTACCTATCACATGTTGTCCAACATTGTACGGTCATTTCACAAGTAAAAGCAAATTTACTGTACATAAACTTATTCAGTGCGGGTTTTGATAGCATCGGATTGTATCCCCTTGATTATCAAGCGTCGTTTGTTTGACTTTGTTGTTGTGAGAAATTCAGGAATGGAAACGTCTATTTTCAACGGATTTTCGGGGCGTTTCAAGAAAAATAAAAGGTAAGTAAATTTGTTAGATCGGGTTAGATCATTAGCTATTAAAACTATAAACAACTTCATATGAAATATCTAGCTTGTTTTATTGATTTCATGCACTGTGTCAACAAAAGATGTAAACAACAGCTTTTGATCATGCATGCTGAATGATACAACAGTTTGACATTTCAATCTGACATTTGAAATTTTAAATCAAAAGTAGTCTGTAGAAATGAAAATTGTTTCTGACACTGTATATCTAAAATTGCCAGGGTGCTTGAAAGACTATTTCAATTTGACCAGAAATGAATTTGTCTGTAGAAAAAATATAGCAGAATCTATAGATAAATTTAATACTGACTCTACTCATTGAGTATTCTTACTGATTTAAAACAGTACTGTAGAGTTGTTTATGAATACAAAATGAAAATATCTCTGATCATTTGTGTAACAATTGAGTAAAACACTGAATTATCAGAAATACAGGCCTGTCATGAATGAAAATATATGTATATTTATTTCATACAGAAATTTTCAAGCATTCAAAGCAAAAAACACCATGTAACTAGCATATTGACTTGAAGAACAGGACAGATTATTCTTTTTCAATGACAGCATCAAGTAGCTCTTCTATTTATTTTAATTTGCATGCTTTTTCATGAAACACACAGCAAATTTCAATACACGTTTGAATAATTAATACAGGTACATATCTCAAAATTTCTCACAAATTGTGTTTTTGATGCCATATGGCATTTGTTTTTGATGTAATTGTTTCTTTTTATACCCCATGTCAGTGTATATGCATTTTGTCTCCTTTATTTCTTACATCATTTCTAAATTTCTAAAACTATTTGCAGAAACATGGTCAAAATGTTGATGGTTACTAAGATGAACAATTGAAAAACATCAGTGGCTGGAAAAAAATCAAGTCATGTGCAGTGACTAGAATGAATACAACACAAATTATCAGGTAAAATACTTTTTTTCAAATAAATTGATAAGTATTTTAGTCATTTATATGCTGAACTTGACATGTTCACTCTGGAAAATGAAATTTTGTATATGTTTGAATATGTTAAGATAGAATTGTAGGTGATTTTCAAAATTATAAGACACAGTACAAAGACACACTTAACATTTAGTTTCAATATTTTCTTTTTCAGATTGGAATCTTATGTAGTATTGAGAGTGGATTTTTTTACAATGGACCAGACCTCATGACAAATGTACAGCTGATGGTAATAACAAATGTTCTCTTTGTGCTGCTATTTTATCCAACAGTATTTGACTGTTATGGTAAGTTTTGAATTTTTTTCACCATACTTGAATTACATCATCCAATTTGACACACACCTGTAGATTGTTCTTGCTTCTTTCACATTATTTGGCAAAGTAAACAAAAACAGGAAATTGACTGTAAAATATTCATTTTTATCAATTTGGAGAACTTTACTATGTTTTTCACCATGTATCAATATTAATCTAAGCTGAATTGTTGTTCAAAGGAAGATCTATAAGCCTATTTTTGACAAATAGGTGAACAAAATCTTTCTATGACATGCAATACTGCATATTGAAAATATATTTATCATTGTTATCATTGTTAGACATTTATTTCATTCATTCAACCAGCCTAAATTTATTTGCTTGTTTTGTACAATAAACTGGTTGTAAATCAATGAAATCACTAAATGGTAAAAAAAAATGTGTTCCCTGAGTGACAAATAATCTTGCCTGTGTAAGAAAAGTCATTTTCAGGAGCAAATGTTGTAAAACAAACTATTCCGCAATCCTATTTTGTCTTTTTTATTTGCTTAAGAACACATATTTTCTTAAATGAAATAAAAATGCATATCATCTTTAAATATTAGTTCATTTCTATACTGTTTCATGAGTTTTGAAGCAAATATCCATGTCCATTGAGACAAAAAATCTGAAGTACTGCTGTTTTTCTTCAAAATCTTTGACAAAATGTATGAAACAAAGTAGTCAGAATCTTGTATTTTTTCAGACCTTGTTCCAGATCATTTTCATATAGCTGAGCATAAAAGTGTAGCCTTGTTTTCATTCAAGAGGTCACAGTTGCAGTTATTGTAAGTTGTTTTCAGTTAATATGAGAATTTAATATCATTGACATCATGTTTATATCTCCACCTTTTTGTTTTTCCTTGGGGGTAAGTTATATTAAATTTCACTATTTTACATCAACATGATGTTAACATGTCAATTTATTTGAAATGCAGATAAATTTCATAAGTTTTATCTGTTATGTGCATTTTATTGTTTTACTTTGACTCAATGTCAGTCCATTTTACATTCTGTGATAATATAAAACACTGGATTAATTTCATCACAGATTAAATGATTTACATATATTTTTTTCATTTTATATTTTCAATGATTTCTATTTTGTTTTCAGACTGAAAAGGACAGTTAGCATTGTGGATTATGTATTGGTGACAAAGAAATGAAAATTCACACAAAAAAATCTCCTGACATTGTGAAAAAGCATAAGATGTTGGAATGAGATGTACATATAGGAGAATGAAATAAAATTCATGTCTTCAATTTATTTTGCATTTTTATTGTTAATTTCAAACATGCATGCACAAAAAAGGATTTATAGCCAAAAATACCCCGGCCCAAACAAGGCGGGGGGTCTAAAAAAGAGGTGCCCCCCCTAAATATTATCATCAGATTTTTTTACATATCAACTATATTCCATCCACCAGTACTGGAAAAATATTGAACTTGAAAAAAATGCGTTTACGTAGAATCAAATATTTTGTTAAAGTCTACTTCACTGTCTAAGACCTATATTATGCCCACCTGAAATCTGCATAAAAGACTTTCATTTAACCACAGCTTTAACAAGCAAATTCGTTGAATTTATATCCCCCGCCGAGTACTGGTTATTATTAACACAACAACTGAAGACATAAGGCTATGCAACAGACCAGAACCATTTGATCAACTTTGGCAGGGGACCACCCTAGGATCATTCCTGTAAAGTTTGGTTGCTGTGCAGTCATTTGTTTCTGAGGAGATGTTGTTTAAAGAAATTGCTGACGACGCATGACGACGGACGGTGGGGGATCACAATAGCTCACCTAGATGTAAAAACATCTTAATCTCCAGACTTCATTATTCGTAATTTAGTGATGTTGATCATTATTCCTGTAAAGTTGGTTGATTCTAACTCAAGCACTCAAGGATCAAATAACAACATAATGAAACAGTTTTTACTAAGTCAAGGGAAATAACTCTACAAATACTGGATAAATCCACAAGCGAAACCCCAGGAACAAACTAAATATGCTGAGCAACTTTCCAATAAGGTTAAATGACTCTATGTCAAATCCTTTTTGAGTTACATGCGACACATGTTGAAAATTGCAAACATTTTCTAAATCAAGGGCAATAACTCTAAAAATACTAAATAAATCCAGACGAAAATACCCAGGTGCACAACTACACATGCTGATCAACATTCCTGTAAAGTATCATGACTTTAGGTCAAATACTTTTTGAGTTACATGTGACACAAGTTGAAAATTGCAAAATTTTACTAAGTAAAGGGCAATAACTCTAAAAATAGTAAAAATATCCGGACGAAAATACCCAGGTGCACAACTACACATACTGATCAACATTCCTGTAAAGTTTCATGACTAGGTCAAACACTTTTTGAGTTACATGCGACACAAGTTGAAAATTACAAAATTTTACTAAGTCAAGGGCAATAACTCTAAAAATGCTAAAAATATCCAGATGAAAATACCCAGGTACACAACTACACATACTGATCAACATTCCTGTAAAGTTTCATGACTCTAGGTCAAATACTTTTTGAGTTACATGCGACACAAGTTGAAAATTACAAAATTTTACTAAGTCAAGGGCAATAACTCTAAAAATACTAAAAATATCCAGAAGAAAATACCCAGGTGCACAACTTCACATGCTGATGAACATTCCCATAAAGTTTCGTTGAATTCCAGCCATTAGTTGCAGAGAACTACTCCGGAAACGAAATTCGTACGTTTTACTAAGTCAAGGGCAATAACTCTAAAAATACTAAAAATATCCAGACGAAAATACCCAGGTGCACAACTTCACATGCTGATGAACATTCCCATAAAGTTTCGTTGAATTCCAGCCATTAGTTGCAGAGAACTACTCCGGAAACGAAATTCGGACGTTTTACTAAGTCAAGGGCAATAACTCTAAAAATACTAAAAATATCCAGACGAAAATACCCAGGTGCACAACTTCACATGCTGATCAACATTCCCATAAAGTTTCGTTGAATTCCAGCCATTAGTTGCAGAGAACTACTCCGGAAACGAAATTCGGACGGATGGACGGACGGACGGAAGGACGGACGGACAACGCCAAAACTATATCCCCCTCCCGATTCCATCGGCGGGGGATAATAAAAGTCGTGGTTTAACAAGTCCATCAATTTCTGACAAATTAAAACCAGATTGGAGGAGGGGGCGGCTAATCTTGTGTACTCTGAAGACATATGTACGTTAAATGTGCAACGATCTATCGTTAATGACTAAGATTTTCCCAAACATTTATATACTAATAAACCATGTCTTGAGCTTTCTGACGATTGTAATTTCACTTATGCTTAGAAATATGCATTAACAATAAGCCAGTGACCTCAATAAATATGATTCTTTGAGAATTTGGCAAAATGTTTATATGGAAACATGTCAAGGATGGTAATTCATCAATCAGATTTTTTTAAATTTAAATATATAATTTCTAAATCCATATTACGTAAACTGTCTTGCTTTAATTTCATTTCCGGGACCATTTGTAACTTTAAATAATAATATCATTTTCAAGTCGTTATAATTATGTCGTAGCGTATCGCTGTCCAATGAAACTGATTTTAAGGACCTTCCTTTGGTTCACCTACTCCATGGTGGCCCGGATTTGACATTGTCTAGGCAATGTATTATTATGATCTTAGAGATTGTTTTTAATTAGGACAATGTGTTTGATAGATTATTCATGGGATATCAAAGGAATATTACATTTTAACATTTATTGTTTTATTAGTATAATATGCTACCCAAATATACGTTTTACTATTTCAATCTGTTGTGTTAAGCTTTTCCAATTTAGTACTTTCAACAATTTAATTTTCAAAAATTCATATAATTTTGTAGACACTTGGGCAGTGATGAAAAATGAAATATTTAAACTGCTGCTCAAAAACGCTGAACAATAATTTATTATTTATTTCTGATAAACTTTGACGAATGATGTTCCTATTTAGTTTAGCGGTTGCAACAAAATAACGCCATTGATATAGTACAAATTGAAAAAGCCACAAGTGTCGCCTGAAGACAATATTATATTCCGATGGAACAGGCTCTTTCAAATAGAAAAATATTTACAATCGGTGCTATTTCTTTCTGATGATAAGGACCTTATATGTTCTAAATCCATATATTCATTATAACAACGTTAAGTTAGTTATAAATTCATACGCTATGATAAGAAAATAGTTACAGCTGAAATGACATTAATTTCCAGGAAAAATATCTTTTTGAGGAAAACCACTTTAAATGTGATAGAATGTGACTGAATATGCAATAAAATATATCTAACAATGTTTGTGGTTCAGATCGGAATATCCGTCCCTCAGGTACCCGCCCATGGTCAGCTAGACCAAGACTGTGTTAGTTAAAATTATACCAATAGCGGGTAGACAAATTTAGTGACCTTTCACAAATTTTGGTATGGTACGTTTTTGTTGTTTTTTTAATGCAAAAAAGCAAGCATAAGAGCGGCTTAAGGTAAATAACATCTTTGACAATACTCGCTTGAAATCACGGCTGTCTCAATCGTACAGTTACCTCTCTACCATTGGCATTTTTGAAGATATTTTTTTCATTAAGCGCTTTCTTATTTGGAATTTTACCCTGACTTTGTAGAAAATTCGATCATTACATAAACATACTAAAAGTTACTCTTTAAATGTATGCGTATATCTCATGACGATTAATTGCTACATGACTTATATAAATATGATATTTTTCAGTGTTTTTCATAACCATGGACTATTAATGAAAAAATATTATTTTATTCTTTTTTAACGTATCTCATTTTACATTTTATTAGAAAATTATTCTAACATATTCTAATTGAATTAATAAGTGTATCAATATTACTAAAAAGGGCCCTTTACAACGTTCCTTCATTTTATAAAAGAAGTCATGTCAATTCTTTTTTCACTAAGTAATTTGAATAGCATTTGCGTGTGGTGTTCACAAAACAGTTAAAATAGAAACTGAAAGGAAAAGACACATATAATCGCGAATTATCAATTTGTTCCCCGAATAAAAAGAGTAAAGAAGGGCAATGACATATAATATCATACTGGCCTCATTATACAGCTAAAAATCTGACTAGAAGTTACAGGTTTCAAGAGAAATGAGATTCTGCCGAATATCCGCGAGCCAAATATTTCAGTCTGAGACGGACGGTGGCCAGTGTTTCTTTCATTTTTTTGCATATTATAGTTCAAAAAGAAATCACAAACACTCGTATTTCGATTTAGCATTTTTACATTAACGAGTATTGTGATAATGCTAGACTTCTTTGAATAAAGTATAATTGCTTAAATCGATAGTTTAATTAGCCATTAAAGAGATCCTCATTGTATAGGCGTATTTGAGCCCCGTCACGACAAAACCAACATAGTGCGTTTGCGACCAGCTTGGATCCAGACTAGCCTGCGCATCCGCGCAGTCTGATCAGGATCCATGCTGTTCGCTTACCAACTCTATTACAAGTAGAGAAACTGATAGCGAACAGCATGGATCCTGATCAGTCTGCGCGGATGCGCAGGCTGGTCTGGATCCATGCTGGTCGCAAACCCATTACGTTGGTTTTGTCGTGACGCGGCTCATTTGTTTTTTTATCATAACATTCATGTACATGTAAAGAATAGGCCCACAGATATTACGTTATACATTAAATCTAGTTCATTGTATAATATTTCATTTCCACAGTAGCCTCGTAATCACAACACGTGAATTTTTAATAACTTACGAAGTATCATTATTAAAACAATATTATAAAGTAGTAGGTCATTCAATGTTTAATAAGGTATTGGATTAAAACAATATTTTTAAGTAGAAAGTCATTTAATGTTAAAGTAGGTATTGCATTTAAAACCTTGAAATTTGAATATTTGTTTTCTTTCAATTTTTTTTTTCATAATTTATTTATGATAGTGTAAATAATTCCTAAAGCCTATACTCGTAAATTTTATAGTAAAATTACACTCCTTATACTTGAAACACAATTAATGGTATTTTTATTAAAATACTTCAGGGGAAAAAGATATATTTTAGTTCACTAACTATAAATCTATATGAAGTATGTAACACTGAAATAACATAAAAATAATAAAAATACATAAATATGTACATGTATAATGTTTTTTCTCATATCAAGGTTTATTATTATTATAAATTATGAATTTTTTGTATCACATGTGTAGATTCATATTCTATGTATATTGCATTGTAATTAGCTGTATTC